ACAGAAATATTAACTGCATGTAGATTGAATAAATAGTAATAATGGTTAACAAAACTATAATTTCAGAATCATAAGAATAAAAAAGATTTAAAATTTTCTTTTTTACCATTATACATAAATAGGAAGGTTTAATACAATATATCCAAAACTTCGACACATCTAAAGAAAATATTGGTCAATTTATAAAGTACTAACTCCCCAATTCCTATTTTTAGGCAATTACAAAGGGTATGAGCCTAGAAATAACAAATAATAATAAATTCTCTTGAGAAATGACTTCACAAATCTATAATTTAATACTATAGCCTTCTCCTTTTATTGTGCATGAATTACACAAAACTGCTTCCAGGATTTTGTGTTGTTGGCATCTATTGTGCCCTCTAGTGCTTCTTTTATAAAGTATCACAGAATATACTTCTCTAAGAGTTTAGTACTAGGAAAATGTTTTTTTCTAGAGAAAGTGGAATGTTTATTGTTATTTCACAAAAGCAGATATACTATCTATTATATGCTTCTTGCTTTTGTTGTCAAGTAAACTCAGCTAGGCTTTATGCTCAACTACTGTTGAGGTTTTATGGAATTTTTTGTCCTCACACCCCAAACCATTATCACTTGATTCATATTTGTATTTCCATTTCATAGTAGTATCACATGTCTTTTATAATAAATCTCTTCAAATTCCACCTTTGGAAACGAATAGGTACATTACAACAGTGAATAAATAAGTATTAGCAAGTAAAAATAAAGGGTTTGTATACCTTTGAAGATTTCTTCTTTTCCTTAGATCTTTTTGGATTTGATACTGAAGACATTAAAATTCTATTGATTTCAAGTCCAGTTTGAAGCTATAACATTAAAGACAAAACTTTATAAAATTGATTTTTAACAAGCTTCTTCAAAAACATTATAATGAAAGACCAGGTCTCAGTTTATAGGGATAAAAATGCTTTTTAAAAAAGAAAACCTAAAATACTATTTTTATGTGTGTGAAAGTCATTAAATCTATTGGCAATTACAATCATTTTCTGTTTATAAGAGAATGAATTATTTAATATATATACCAACCAAACAGAAAACAATCTATAACCAAGAGTTCTTTCAACTGAGAATGTATATATGCATATATGCGTGTGCGTGTATGTGTATGTATGAGTGTGTGTTATACACACACACATCACACACACACACACACACACATACATATATATATATTTAACGAAATTTCAAAAGACCAAAAGACCTCTTGGCAATGCATTCAAGTACATGGATGTACTACTAGCTGACTTATTGAGAATTTCATTGTCATGGAAAAAAGAAACAAAACTAACAAGCTAAGAAACAGAAATTCGAGTCTAGAATATTGGCTTCAGGTAATAGAAAACAAGTAGAGTAAAACATGTGGTTTATTGTGGTAGATGATATTGGTGCTCTACCTCAGAAGCTTTGTCTTGAAATAGCTTACGGTGATGTTCTTCTTCCTTAAGTTTTTCCTCTAAATGTTTAATCTTGTCCTGCAAAAAAGTACAAAAATCTAGGATTATTATACAAAAACTAGAGCCATATATCTATCCCTTTGTTCCTTTTCCAAATAGTCCTTGGGGTCTTGATTCTTAATAGTTTGGCAAATTAAAGCAGAAAGCAAGGAAAAGGAGTAACAAAAAATGCTAAGATTTTTCTTGGCTTTCTTCTAATGCTCCTTTATCTGCTCTTACATGTAAGAACAAAGGGAAAGCAAAGAATGAATATGTGTAGGTGTTATTAATGTCCAGCAATAAAATCATAATGATGATACTTTGGGAGGTGGGTATTAAAGGTCTGGAAGGTCAAACAATTTTAGTCTTGGGTCTTGATGTTTCATTTAAAACATAGACAAATCAATAAATGTCTATCTTGCACATATGATAAGGGTACAGTTGTTGGAGGAGAGAGGGGATAGGAAGACTTTAGAAATATAAGATATGGTCCTTGTTACTTAAGAGCTAATAGTGTACACATAGGAAAACAAGAGTAACATACATGAAGCAATAAAATAACAAAGCAATGAATAGGATTTAACCCAGACCATATATACACTTATACACATAAATATTTCATCTTATGTCCTTGGTGTGGTTTAGTATAGGAGGACAGTACTAATCAAAGGAAGACTTTTCTGAGTGTTGAACTCAAGGAAAGCTTCATAAAGGAAACAGGATCTCGAAAAATCCTATGGAATGGATAGGATTTGGGTGGAAAAAGAGAGGGCATTTCAGGATGGGATCTAGGATAGGCTTAACTTAACTGCAAGTGGTGAAAGACAATCTTTTCAATATCCTTTAGGTAAATTATCTGACAAATGAAAATGTTCTGCCATCTCAGAAGAAGCCAAAATTACAATTTCACATCAAAAGGCAAGCTCATTCATGCTGTGACAGAATATATTAACTTTTCATCTCTATAGGCAGGAATTCATATCTGGATTAATGAAGTTTTATAAATCTAAGATTTACTGTATATTCACATAGAGAGCCAAACACAAAAGATTTATTCCTGGCATCACCACTTCAAAGAAATAAGTGGAAACTTACCTCAGCAGTTTTTTGAGTTGCTGTAAGCTTAAAACATTCTTTTTCTAAGACATCAAGCTTTTCAAGTTTTGCTTGCAGCTTCATATGATCTTGTTCTTTTTCCCTTTGAAGCTGGGCCTGGAAAGGATAAAAAAAACCAAAAAACAAAAAACCCCTGAATTTGGCAACTGATGCCAATGGCTCAAGATTAATACAATTTCTGAGAAATCAAAGCACAATATAAATGTTATAAACATGTATGTACCGTACACATACTTCAGGTGCTTACCAGAAGAAACCGAGAAAATCAAATATTTTTAAAGAGTATAATGTGCAAAAAAAGATGTGCTATATTAGCATCAATGGAAAAAAAACTTCTGTGCATCTTTATATAACATTTTGACTAAGAAACACATCATTAGGGAAACCTATATTAAATAAAGTGTTGTATATAGGGTGACCAAACCTACTTGTTGACTTACTCTAATTATAACATAGAAAAGCAGCTATCAGAAGAATGAAACATATAGAGAACATGGAGAAATGGAAAGTTATGCATATATATGCATATCTACATATTGTTTTATAATGGTATTTATTACCAAACTAAGGCGAGATGTTAATAACAGAGGTAACTGTGAGGGGACAGGGGGTATATGAGAACTCTCTGTACTCTCCACTCAGTTTTCTATAAACTTAAAACTGTTATAAAAAGTAAAGTCCATTAAAAAAAAAAATGAAACAAGCAATGTAGATAACAATTCTCATAAGAAACTATGAAAGCCAGAAGACAATTGAGACAACATCTTTAATGCGCTGAAAGAAAAAAAGCTGTCAACTAAAATTCCATATCCAGTGAAAATATCCTTCACCAATGATGGTGGAATACTTTTCCAGACAAATATATGCTAAGGGAATTTTCAGCATACTTAAAGGAAGTACTTCAGACTGAAAAAAAATGTAACCACATGGAAAATCTATATAAATAAAAAGCACCAAAAATGGTAAAAATGTGGGTAAATACATTTTTTTCTTGTTTCTTAATTTTCTTTAAGGAATAACTGACCATTGTGATATTGTGATTCATCAGATATTTAATCCTCATTAAGTTCCTGGCTCATAGCTCCCAAAACCTTTGGAATTTCCAGTGTTGAGAGCAGTAAAAACGTCTGTTGTTATGTTAATAAGGTGACTCTAGGAAAGCATCTAAGGACGGGGCTGGTCGCCAGGAGACCCAATCATGTGATTAGAGGGTTTAAACTTGCAGTCCCACTTCCCGCATCTGACGGTTCTGGAATCAGAAATGCCCGCAGAAGGAAGATGCCTGAAATATCAGGCCAGCCCCTTTGGATTTAACTCTGCACACAGATTCTGAATTGGTGATTTCTTTTATTGACTCATTAATTCTCCAATGCCTTTGTAAATTTTTCCTTTCTCTTTCACTTTCTCTTTTTTTTAAACATTCTGTTTTCCTCTATGGAAAGGTTGGTCCAAATGACCTAGTCTACATTACTGTAAGTAGACACCTATATATGGCTTTATATCCTACTTTACTTAAGATTATAAAAAGACATTAACTATCCACCCCCAGAGGGTAAATTTACCAGCTTTTATTATGTGTCTAATTTGTGTCATATAGTTTACATTTTACTTTTTTTATTGAGGTATAACAGACAAACAATGTTAGCTTTGGGTGTAGAACACAGTGATTGGACTCTTGTATTCACTGTGAAATGATCATCACAGTAAGTCTAGTTACCATCTGTCACCATACAGTCATTAAATATCCTTCAAAAACATATTAAATTATATTACATTCCTTACAGAAAATTCATTCACCTGTTGTTCTAGGATAATATTCTTCTCTCGCTCTACATTGAGAACCATTCTCTTTGTATATTCTAGTTGCTTCTCTAGGAGAGTACAGCGAGACTGGGCTGAGCTTAATTGTATACTTATATCTATGAAAAAGAAAAAGGAATAATGAGTTAATTAGTTGATTATCTCATAGATAAGAGATTTGGTTATCACAAGAAGGTATTATACGAATTCAATCAAAAGCTAAAAGTTCAAAACTTTTTTAGTTCTAAGTACTGACTGTCCTGGAATTATAAACATTTTTGTGAATATCTCATTAATTATATCCAACTGATTCATCATTATCCCCCCCCCCACCAAAAAAAAAAAAAGATCAATAGGGCATACATCTGAAAGGGGAAGATGTCAGTGATTTGTAGGATGATAATCCTGGCTGTTCTTGAGAAATGATACTATTTGGAAAAAAGAGGACCTAAAGTCTCTTCCCTATCTCTGCATTTCTTTTCTTTCAAGAAACTCAGGTATAAGCATTCTACTATTCCCATTTCCTCTGCTCTTGACTACTGACAGCACAATGAATTCCATAAAGTATAAACAACCTCTTTTTAATTCTTTAATTTTTTATTTTCCTCAGATCTTTCTTCCACTTTATCCAATTACCTCAGAAAAATTTCCTCCATTTTTTCATTCTATTTATAAGTGAAACACAAACTTAGTTTATGATGATGAGTGTAATGTTATAAAGAAAAAGAAAGCTGTACGTTTTTAAGTGAAATTATGTAAAGAACTTATGTTCTAAATCTCTAAAACTTCTGTCTAGATGTCTTTTTCATAATTTCCAGCGTCTCCAGTGACTTGTCAATTTCCTCTAATTAACCTCTCAAGTTAAACAGAATTTTTTAATTCACTTTTATTGTTTTTATATTATTTAATTACTAGTGTTGTTTTATAGCTCAAATTTTTAAAACTAGTGTTAACTGAAACAATAAAGTATTTCAATTATATGTAGGTTAAACTGAATTTTGTTGGTATTCTGAAAATATTCTAATTTCTAAATACGACTTGTCTAAACACTTAATTGTTCTTTTAATCGAACGGATTTATGAACCAGGATAACATATAACAGAAATAAGTTCAAAATTATATCCATCTCTTGCAAATATAAATATGTCTGAGAACAAGAACTCAAGGTTTGAATGTATATATAAGAACAAACATATTTGAGTAAATCTGCTTAGACTTAAGATTATTTTCAAATTGTAAACTTTAGTAATTCTTTGTTTCTGTGAACTACTGAGTTTGCTCACCTTTTTTCTGCTTTATCAGTTCTTGGTGTACCAGATTTCTCTCATTTGTTTCAATCTCCAGGGCCTTTTTATATTGTGCTGCTTCTCTGGAAAGAATGTTCAGGTTATCCTCAGCTTGTGTTCTCTCTAACTCTAAACGATGAATCTTTTCCTGGAGAGTTTTTAAGGCTAAAATAAGAGCTGTTGAAAAAAAAATTCCTTGATATTATAAATGAAAAATTCTGAACACTCGCAATCATATAAAAGTGAGTAGTATATTTTTGTTAGTGAGCCAGAAAATGTAGGTATATTCCTCATAAAAATGAAAAATAATAACTAAAACTCTAAAGAGGGAGAAATTTTCCCTAAAACAGCTTGTAAAAACAATATATTTATGATTGTACTTAGTGGTTTTTCTAGGTTTGGTAAAGTTAATGATCACAATTTAATCTAATAAAATAAATATTTTTCAAATTAAAAGACAAGATAATCTGTAGTCTGGGAGGTACGCAAGTCTGAGTATGAATAAAGAAAATTAAAATATAGTATCCACTAATTAACATGGATATTTAAGTTTAAAGTTAAAAGTTTTTCTCAGTTATTGATGTGTTTCAGTTTTAATCAAACCACAAACATGTACTGTTCCTTTGTCCAAGATACAGTGTTAATAATCAGGATAAATGAGGTAGAACACAGTTTCTTCCACTGAAAAAAAAATTATAATCCAGTGGGTTATCTGATGTCAGGCTTGAAAGATTATTAGTACATGAACTACTATGATTTTTATTCGCTATGTTAATATCGTCACGATTCAGATAAGCTCAGAGTTATAAAATCTTTAAATATTATCTTACACTTTCTACTCAGTTATAACTTCAAACTATGAATGAAATATAAATAAATGTTATAGGTTAACTTTCATATAGTTTATATACAATTAGATATTTGCTAGAGATAGTTTTTTACAAATTAATAAAGAAATTATATCTATTGCTCTTTATAAGGTACCTGTAGCTCGCTCACTAATTTGAATTAGTTCCTGTGGTTTGCTCTACAAGGCTAGTCTGTTTATTATGGCAACCATTATTATAGAATATTAAAAAACAAAGCGATAATCAGCATCTTAAAAAGTAATTTGTATGGCATAAGGTATGCCTAGAGTCATAAATATTTTCCTAATTCAGTTTTAATATCTACGTGAGTTTATATTTTTAGTTACAATTCTTGTATTTTGTAGTTACTTCAATGTACTGGCTTCTTAAGGAATTTTCAAGGGTAATTCTGGATACATGCAATTTCTGAATTTAATCGTTGATTAAGATACAATTCTACTTAATTCACTAGTATTCTAATCATCTAGTTTAGAAAGATTTCAAATCTGACCTTTTATTCTTCAAAGGTTTTTTTTGTTTTCTAATGATGTTTTTATAATAAACCTGTGATATATGTCATCTTACAGCTGAAGAAGCCAAAATAAAAAATCTTAAATAACTTGCCTAAGTTTATAGAAACTTTTAGCAATAGAATCAAAATAAGTTGTTTTATTATGACTAGTTAAATACACAATTTTATTATTTTTTTACATAAAAATGTAAAGTTTTATGAACTTATCACATAATATGAACTATTCCCCTAATTTTAAGTAAGATTTTCTATTAACATTACCTTGGCTATTTGGACTATGAAGCATTTTAGGAGAGGTTACTTCAAAGTTCACAGAGTGGTGATTCTGAGAGGACTCATCATTCTCGGTGAATGATGGAAAAAAGACACTTTCTGGAGGTTTAAGATAGCTTCCAACTATACTATGCATTAATTCAGAATCCATTATCTGTAGAGAATAAAGGAATGATATAGTACAGCATCATTCTTTCTTATTTGAATGACAAAAACAGACAAATATGCAAGTGAAACTTTAACATAAATACAAAATCACATGCTGTGGAGTTGTATCTTTATGAATTAAATTATCACAAATTCAACTATAACAAGCTCAGCAATAAAAGAAAGAAAAATGACTATTTACTGTATAAATAGTATGGACAATTCTGCAATGAACATATGATTTGCAATGAATATATGATTTGCAATGAACATATGCCCTGGAGTGAGCATTACACGGGTGGTGTGAATTTTCTGGCTTCTTATTTGATCCTAGATTCATATACATCTCATCATCTGAACATCTCTCTATACGTAGAGTGACTCTAGGGTTCAAAGAGAAAGTATATATTCTAAAAGACAACATAGCTGTTAAGACAAGCCACCCATATAATCCAATTCTCTAAGACTGACCCTTGAACTCCAATGTACTAGCTTCCTAAGGGATTTTCAAAGGTAATTTTGGATATATCAATTTCTGAATCTAATTCCTGAATAAGATGTAATTCCATTTAATGCACTAGCATTCTAATCATCTAGTTAGAAGGGTTCCAAATCTGAAAGAATCTAAAATAGCTTTATTTTGTCATTCTAGGCTTTTGTTTGTCTCTTTGTATATAAGAGACAAAGACCTTTTAGTCATTTTAGCAGGTAATTTTTTAATCGCTTCCTAAATCATTTTTCTGTAATTTAAATATCTTAGAAACGCATTCTACTTAACAGAATCTAGTCAATATTAAATTAATTCATAGCTACACTGAAAAAAAAAAGTTATAATAGTTCACCAGTACAATTTTAAGAAAAAAAGCTTGTTTTAAAATGTAAATTTAAATAATACATTTAAATTTATACAATTAGCCTATCTTAATTTTGGGGAACTGCAAATTTTCAGTGATTTCACTACCTTCTCAATTCACAAGGCCAAAGAAGGCACTTTCCATAACTTTTCCTGGGAGGGCAGAGAACACACTTTACTTAATGGCAATTTTTACTTTAGCCATTGCCATGACTGGCTGTCTTCCAGGACATTCTGATTAGTCTAAATTAGAGGTTATATAGCTTAGGAAGGTTTGCAAGAATACTCGTTGCTTTTTGCTTTTTCATTTTTTACTTTTGTTATTAGCACCAGCTACCATTTACTAACCATATCTCCATCCCTCCAAGTTGTTGCTGCTCATACACTGTCTGCTCCCCATTGGAAACTGCATCTATCTAAGTTGCTGTTCCCTCAAAAAATAAGAGAGCAAAGTCAGTCACAGCTAGTTCACAATGAAGTAGAGGGAGGGCCTCAAAGTACAGAATGGCCAAATCTTACTGTTTTTACTGCTGAGTGTAAGCTCTGTACATTCAGTCTCATCTTATCCTCATAAAATTCTATGAGGTAGGTTATCATTATTCCCATTTTGTAAATGAAGGAATAGAGGTAGAGAGGTCACCCAAGGTCATATAGCTTCTAAATGGTGGAGCCAAGATTTAAATCTAGACAGTTCAATTCCAAAGCCAGGGCTCTTAATCGCTATGTTAAACTGCCTATAATTTCAAACATTTGTAGTTAGCCAGGGTGTGAGATGATGTTGCATTTGGATTAGGGTAATGACAGTGGAGATAAAGAGAGTATACAGAAGCAAGATATATTTTGAAGATGTAAGTAATGAACTGGATGAAGAGAAGAAAAGCACATAGATGGTATACAAAGTCATTGAGAATAGAAGATGTCACCTAAAGGAAGAGTATAAGTAGAAAAGATTTCAGAAAAGGAAGGAGAACAAGAGGAAAAGAAGCCAATAAAGCGGAAAAAAGCCAGAAAACTACGGTGACAGAAATAAAGAGATTGTTTCAAGGAGGGAGATATTTAGGTCAAAAAAGAGTCAATTGATTTTGAAAAGGAAGAGACCACTGACCGTGATGGTACAATGTAAGAAGGGAAGGCAGTTCTAAGGGTCTATATCAAAAGGGCAAGTACAGGAAGAGAAACTAGCAAAAGACGTCTAAGTTTTACACAAATCAGGATGTCCTTTTGCAAAGAACTTCAACTTTCCTGGCTTAAAATCATACAGCACTCATGGACTGTGCCTTGTCATCCTTGTGAACTAACTTGCTACAAGTCACAGTGCAAACAATTGTATTCATCATGCAAGTCACTTTCACAGAATCAATTATATATCATTCTTGAAAACGTCTATGGCAGGAAAGTAAATTATATACAATTTTACTGAGCATTATGAACTGAATTATGCTCCCCCAAAATTCATGTTGAAGCCCTAACCTCTAATACCCCAGAATATGACTGTATTTAGAGATAGGGCCTTTAAAGAGTTAAAATGAGACCCTCAGGATAGGTCCCAATCAAATCTGACTGGTGTCCTTTAAGAAGAGGAAATCTGGACACATTGAGATACATTAGGGATGTGTGTACACAGAGGAAAGACCGTATGAGGACACAGCGAGAAGGTGGCCATCTGTAAGCCAAGGAGAGAGGTCTCAGAAGAAACCAAAACTGCCAACACCTTGATCTTGGACTCCTAGTATCTACAACTGTGAGAAATAAATTCTGTTGTTTAAGCCACCCAGTCTGTGCTATTTGTCAGTCCTAGCAAACTAATACACTGACTGCAACTTAGACCTGTGTTTTACAATAAATGAAACAGGAATAGTAACAAAGGTATAACAATGGAAGCCTAAGGTTTATGCTATTTACAGCACATAATAAAGTTATTTGAAATTTAGAGTTTCCTACTTGATAAAATGTGAAACAATTATGAACTCTTTCTTGATTTATTTCCCCCTATATGGAATTAAAAAAAATAATTTAAAATGTCCTACCATAATCAAATGGAAGAAAACTAAAATTATGCTTTTGACCCATATTTAATTTATATGGAATTGTATTAGTTTTAACACAAATATTAGCATTAATTTTTACCTAAAACATTGTAAAATACTTCTTTAATAGTTTATATTAAAAATATAAGACTACTTACTGCTTCTAAGAATCAAAGTGACATTCAAAAATTATAGAATTAGACATTTTGAATTACAGGGATATTCAAGAGAACTAATCTAAGGGTTAAGATGTAATCAAATTCAGGTAACTTTAAAAACAGCTAAATAGAGTCTGTTTATAAACAAAAATCCCAGATCTACCTCCAAATATTAGTTGACAAAGGCTATTATTTCAAGTTATTTAGTTTGAAGTAGTGATGACTATATTCAAAATATTTGGGAAGCCCATGGTATCATAAATTTGTAAAAGTCAAAAATATCTGTGAGTTCTAGAATTGATAGGGAAATTTCATATGTTTATTTAAAATTTATATCAACTTCAATTTTCTCATTTTATAGATGTAGAAACCAAAGTCCAGAGATGCTAAGTAATTTGCTTAAGCTGAATTTTCCTGCACTCTAAAATTTATGCAGCTAGAGAAAAAATTCTCTCTTAAGGACTGAGGTTGATTTATATTTACCTAAACAGGGACTACCCTAATGGAGAGTCATCTGGAAAATGCTTCCTGGAAAGAAATTATGTAAACACAGAATCATGTAATCCTACTAAAGTCTAAGAGGGTCTTAGAGGGCATCTGTTCTAACCCTTTCAATATGAACTGATTCTCACATTATCTTTAATAGGTCATCTAAACTCTACTTCATATCTCCGGAGAGGCAGAGTTCACTACCTTCATGTTGAAGTCAAAGCTTCTTTCTCTGATTTTTATGGATTAAACACATTTTGAAGATAATAACTACAGCTTCTATAATTTTTGATGTAGATACTGTTTTGAATATTTACTGTGATAACTGTGATATTACATAACAAATTCATCTAGTAAAATCTTGCTGCATAATTTAGGATCATTTTCAAACCTCAAATTTCATCATTCACTGCATCTGAAATGCCTGTAAAAGAGTTATAAAATTCATCCCATCCCGTTATTGAGGGCAAAATGGATAGATCAAGCAGAAATGACTCAATTATTTAATCAATGATAGTTAATTGCTGATGAGATCTCAGTAGACTTGACTGGATCCAGATTAGCACAGCTGAATACTAATATAGAAGATAACTTTAGCGTGCATCTACTAGTCACCAAGACCAGCAGATTTCTTCCTTAATAACTTAACAGTTTTTTTAAAAATAATTTACCATATACATAATACGTATATGTGTACTTTAAGGAATTATAATAAAACAAATTTCTGTACATCCTCACCTAGCTTAAGAAATAGAGTGCTAACCTGTTCTGTGGAAGCTGAGTGCCCTTCCCCATCTCTTGCTTTAAATTTTGTGCTACTCATTCTAATGTCTTTTATCATATTTCTATGTATCCTTAACAATATATTGTTTAGTGTTGGTGGTTTTTAAATTTTATATAAATGGAATCATACTTTTTTCATTCAAAGTATTTTTGTACTTACAAGCTCCCTATCTCTTAATCTGTCTGTCTTTCATATTCTTTATCTTTTTGTTTTATATGCTGTATAACACTGGGTAATTTCTTAAGCTCTATCTTCCAGATCACCAATTCTTTTTTTTAAAGCTATGTCTAAGTAGTTTTTTGACCCATCCACTAATGTTAATTTTAAATTATATTTTTCATTTTTTATTTTTTTCCCAAATCTCCCTGATTAATTTTAATAGTCTCTTGTTCCATCATTGTACTCTTCTATTTCTTTAAAAATTTTAAACATACTTAAAAATTTTTTATATAATAATTTTAGAAATCAGTCTTTTGCAGTTTGTGGCTTCTGGTGACTCTTATTTATAATGGCTATTTACTCACATGTTTAGTGATTTCTGATTTTAAGCTCACATTCCTTGGATATGGGAATTCTTCAAAGTTAGTATTTAAAGTACTTTTCTTCAGAGATTTCTATGAGCTTTTGCTAGGTCTTGGGGCACCCAAAATCCAAGGCATCATTAAACTAAACATTTATGTTAAGATTTTTTGGGAGGCAGCATGAATTCCAACTTCAAACCCACGTGAGTATAAGATTGTGATGTGGACTTCTTGGGAGAGATTCTTTTTGTCCACTCCATTCAAAGCTAAGAATAAAACAGGCAGTGTCGTTCTGAAGAGCAGGTTATTTTCCCGTCATTCACAGAAAGTTTCACCCCTTGGGGATCCCAACTTTTTACTGCAGTGTCCAAACTTATCACTCACCAGGCCCAGGTTCAGACTTTGTCTCCTGCCCCATGCAAGCAGGAATTTTCTATGATGGATCAGAAAGTGTCCTCAGGGACAAAAGTGGTTCTAGGGCTAATTTATCCCTATGGAATTGGGCTCTCTCATTATGTACAGTCTTATATTTTCCCCTTACTTTGCTGCCAACTCAGTCATGCTTTAAAAAAGATGTTTTAAACATTTTATACAGCAGTTTTGTGTTCTTTACCAGAAGAGATTTCTCTGAACATATAATCTGCCATATTGCTTGAAACTGCAATAGTACAGTATATATTCAACTTTTAAAAACTTGCAATGACTTTATAGGAATATCATAAATATTAAGTTCCAGAAATTTAAAAGCTGTTTAATTATTATGCTTCAGTGACTATCATGTATAATGTATTAACACTAACAGCAAATTTTACATTTAATATATTGATCATTTAACATTCAAATTGACCTATTTAACATAATTCATAATTAACTTTAATAATAGCCTTGCTAGATTTGAAAAATTATCATTCTGCAGACATCATAGTAAAGACTGATTTAGGCAAGAAGCATCAATGCAAAATTCAGGAGTGGAAATTTTGATGAGTAGTAGGATCTTTGCATGGTCTTAAAGTGTCTCCTCTACAGATTGCTTACAAGATGCAAGGAAAAAAGCAGTAGTTATATAGTAGAGAAATAAAATAACTTTGATAGGATGATTAAAATTAACATCACCCATGAGAGGTGAGAAGGACACCATGTGCCCTTGAATGTGAAATCCTGAGGAAGACATGTCGCCTATACAGTATTCTGACCAGGAATGTACAACCTGAATCTCAATATGAGGAAATAGCACAAAATCCCCAAATGAAAAACATTCTATTTTTTATAAAGGGTGGGGACTATTTTCTTTAAAAAATGTCAATGTCATAAAAGATAATGATATTTAGGGGTATATATCTCTAAAAGAATTGAAAGCAGGGTCTCAAAAAGATAGTTGTGCACCCATGGCATTATTCGCAATAGCCAAAAGGCAGAAGCAACCTAAATGGCCATCAATAGATAAACAGATAAACAAAATTTACATACATACAATTGACCTTAAAAAGGAAGGAAATTCTGACACCTGCTACAACATGGATAAATGTTGAGGACATTATGCTAAATTATATAAACCAGTCACAAAAATACAAATACTATGAGTCCACTCATATGAGGTATCTGGAGTAGTCAAACTCATAGAAACAAAAAGCAGAACCATGGTTGGCGGGGGTTGTGGGGGTAACTGGGGAGTTAAAGAGTTGCAGTTTTGCCGGATAAAAAAGTTCTAGAGCTTGGCTGTAGGGAAGACAAGTTAAAAACAAGTTATGATTCAATGTGATCAGGCCTATAACACAAGCATATACAGAGTGTTACAGGGGGACAAGAGATTACCTAACTCTCCCTGATGGAGATATAAGTAAAGCTACAAATAATTTGGAATTATAGTTTTGAAAGAGGAGTTTAGGTAAACATGGCAGAATGAACATATACACTGACTTTTGCTCCCTCTTGGAAACCCACTAAAATATTAAAACAATTTCTTAAAAAAGATATAAAACTACAAAGACAAAGAGATCAGAAGAGGTGACAAAACTTCAGAAAATAGATAACAGATGTATAAGCAATAACAGGCTTAGCTAATACAGAAAGGCAGGCTCCTAACTCAAGTAAGAAAAATGACTTCTAAGTTTACCTTGTAAAACCTCCAAATGGTTCGGGAATTAGCTGTACCTTTGCATACAGTAGTTAAGATAGGGATGAAAACTAGAGAACAGGATGAAATTTTAATTTAGAAGTAAATTATATGCCCACATTCCCTTCGCCTCTTTGTGAAGCCAGAAGACTGCTTTACTCTTACCACAAAGGACTCTGAATATCACATTAAGGTGTTTGTATTTTAAAGGATTAGGCAATGGGGAGAAATGAAGAATATAAAGGGGAATAACATAATCAGGTTTGTATTCTGACTAATTTATTCAGATGGTCCTGAGGTAGATAGATTGAAGGTGGAAGAAATTATAGGCAGAGGGACAAATTAAGAGGTTACTGAAGTAATTAAGACAAGGAAAATTACAAGGAGAATTAAAGACTAGAGGAGATGAGATGAACATGAAAGATATTTAGAAGGCAAAATTGAAAGGACTTAGGAACCAACTAGATATGTGAAATTGGGGAGAAGAAATAATAAAAAAATGCTCCCAAAACTTTTACTTGGACAAGTGGGGAAGAAGATGGTAGTGGCATTAATAGAAATAAGGAATAATATAAAGGGAGATACAAGTCTGGTAGAAAACAATAAATTCTGTTTAGATATGTCAAATTTGAGGTGCTTACAGACGCAGAGCTATCTAGCAAATGGATTGAAATATGTGTCTGGCATTTAGGTGAGCAGTCTAGGCTAGATCTAGAAATAATGATTTGGTTATCAATTAGATCACCCAAAGAAAGTGTAAAGATTAGCAATTTTCAGTGTGTGCATGTGTGGAAAAGGGTGGCTGATATTCAGTGCCTTTGTCATTAGAGAGCTACTGCTGTTTATCCACTGTAGTGCCCTTCAGACATGGTGAGTAAAGATTTTAAAAGGTTAAGAATTACAGATTTAGGAGAGAAAAGGGTTAAACTCAGAATGCTGAAGACCACTAGAATTGAGGAGGCAAATGAAGGAATAAAAACCCTCCAAGGAGATCAAAGAGGAGTGATCAGAGAAGTGGGAAGAAAAAGCAGGAGAAAGTGGTAACAAATGAGTCAAATGAGAACAAGAAGTATTATTTAATAGCTACACCTAATATGCCAAGCCTGTAGAAATAAACACACGGAGTATGGCTTCTGCTGTCAAGTAGTCTGCAATCTCACTACTGTAAAAAGACCAACACAAGTCAATGAGAGGGGAAAAAGAAAATAGCGGGTGAGTCAACAATACATCCAGTAAAACTGGTTTTCTTATTTCATAATTATTAAATTTTTATTAAGCATTCTTCAAACTCATCATCTTATTTTTCAATAGAAAAATATGATTACATGAATATAATACCTAGTGTGTTAGAATATAAAGTTAATTTTTTATAAATATTTTACAAATTATAATATCTAATGGTTTACAATTAAACTCAATGCATGCAATAAGTTAACCTAATTTCCAAGCAAACTTATCAACTGCTGAATTTAAAATAACTAGATTTATAGATATTCTATTAGAAAGTTAGATTTTTTACTTACTGAACTTGAATCCAACAAATTTAGAACTTAAAAATGCTGAGATTACTTAAATGATTAGATTCCCCATCATCTTTACCTCAGTTTATCTTTAATATTCAGTTCATGAGAAAATGCTCCTGATTTAATATAAAGTGAACACAAAAAGATATAAAATTATATAATTATAGCCCAATTTCTAACAAGGACAAAGAAAAGCCTAGATAAAAGGCTAAATGTATTAAAATGTTAACAGATGGACAAAAGATTTTCATTTTCTTATCTCTACCTTCTTAAACATTCTCTACAATAAACATATTAGTTTTATAATAAGAAACAAATTTACTTAAATAGTTTCCTCTTAACTAGATTTCAACAGAGGTAGAAAACAGCTGAAGATATACAGTATCTATTATTTATATAGATATTTGTTGGGTCACTTACATCTTTTCATTTTCAAGGGTCTTATGCTTCTTATATCAATATAAATTTGGAGGGAGGCAATTATATTTATTTCTTCGGTAAGTGCCTACAGTCCAAACAGCTATGCTCTGCAAAGGGGTACTGCATCCTCAGGGCCTAATCCAAAATAAAAAAAAAATAATTTGTAAAATGAATCCCCTGAAATTTATCTGTTAGATCAACAACTTTTCCCTACTTCCCCTATGCTAATGTTTGTCCTGGTTAAACCCAACAATTCTATAAATACTGTCCTAAGTTTTAAAAATATCACATATTGTACCCCGATATAAACTTTTGCATAAAGTGTTGTACTTTAATATTTTATTTAAGTAAGTAAATCTTAATTATTAGGATTTTAAAATATTAGTGGTAATATTTCTTCAGAAAGTTCTAACTTTCTATGATTTTGAAAGGGTTTCAACATTCTTATAATGTTTATTATATTTATCTGTTGAATTTAATTCTGCTTCTAACCATTTTTCTTCAGAATGGTTGATGGAAAACTTATCAAATGTAGAAAGAATTTAGAAACTGAGTCAATAAATAATAGCTTTTTCTTTTTATCATTTATTATTATTTATGCCTATAGCACCTGATATTCCTACGTGGTCTCCCATCCAAGTACTGACCAGGCCCGACCTTGCTTAGCTTCCACAATCAGGTATGGGGCTTGTTCAAGGTGGCATGGCCATAGACCATGGACTATGGCTCCACTGGGGCCCAAACCCAGGATCTTCTGTGTGTAAAGCAGATGTGCTAACCGCTACACTATGGAACCACGTCCAAAAAATAATAAGTTTTAAAGTTAACAGTACTCAGATTAGTTGCTACAAATGCACTTCCTTGGCCTTTACATTTTCCTTCCCCTACAGACTGGGCACACTTCATAGCTAGAATTAATTATGGGAATATGCTGATTAGTCAGGCAGCCCAAGGGGGAATGAGCTGTTGGACAATGATAAATAACTAATGCTTACCTATTTAATTGCCAAAATTTATTTTAATTCATTAAAAAAATTCTCAAATGTTTAACTTACTTTTCTTCTTTTAGGCAGAGTATACTCAACACAATTTAACCTTAGGGATGGTTTAAGGATATCATCACAGCATTTTAATTATGCACATGATACCTAAAGAACCACACTGATACTTGTTGGATTGTTTGCCCCTTCACTGGAAAGTTCCAGACTGTTACAGATTTTGTTTTCTGTCTTTTCACCTCTCGCTATCTCTTCCCTTCCAGGCTGCTTATGAGCTGTTTACTCGTCTCTAGAAGACTATCTCTCCCTTTTTAATTGGTTTCCCAATTTACTGCAAATAAGAAACAACAAACAATCAAGTTTCATTCATTAGCCATTCAGAGATGAAAAATACATTCCCTGGCAGTCCTTAAAACATTCACAGCTTAATTATACTACAAAGCATGCTATGGGAACTCAGAGAAGGAATATCTAACCAAGTCTGGGGATTTCAGAGACGTCTTCCTAGAGGAGCTAGTTCATAAACTGAAATATGAAGGATGAATGAGTAGAATTTGACAGGCCAAAGAAAGATAATGAGTAAAGGACAAGATTAAGGGGTATAGGCAAAAGAAATGGCATGGTAATAATAAAAACGATACCTCATATTTATTGAATACTTATTATGTGAATTAACTTATTAAAATCCACATAACTCTATGAGGCGCAATTATTCCCATTTTTAAGAAGATGAAATTGTGGCACAGAAAAACTGTTTTGCCCAAGGTCACACAACTAGTTAAGTGGCAAAGTCAAGATTTGAATTCAGGCAGTATGGCTCTAAAGCTCACACTTTTAACTATTATGCTATATTGTTTATTTATGCAAAGTTATGAAAGCAAGAGCAGATCTAGTGTTTTGGGTGAGTTACTACAAGAAATGTATAAAGCTGGAAGATTGCAAATGTGCCTGAGTACTGCAGAAGAGGAACCTTGTCTAACAGGTACAGGTGTTTGGATTTTATCCCGTAGGCAGTAAGACCAGCTGAAAAGCAGCAGGATCACATGGTCTTTGATGAAGATGCCTGTGAGATTAGAATAGAGAAAATCAACCAGAGTCTACAAGTCCAGGTAGGAGGCTATTCCAGAACTTTTATGTGAGGTGATAAGACCTGAACCAAAGCAACAGACATGGGAATGGAAAGGAAGGGACAAATTTAGATAATTAGGATGTTGAGTTCATAGAACTTCTGATCTGAATGAGGAAAATTAGTGATAGGGAGAAATTAAATAAAGCTGTAGTTAAGGCAGACTAGGGGGTGGGGTGGGGTGGTGTGGTGTGGTGTGGTGTGGTGTGGTGGTGTGGGAGTTAAGGCAGACTAGGGGGTGGGGTGGGGTGGTGTGGTGTGGTGTGGTGTGGTGTGGTGTGGTGTGGTGTGGTGTGTGTGTGTGTGTGTGTGTGTGTGTGTAGGTGGTATAAAAGGTTCATTTTACATATATTTGAGGTGATTGGGAGAATAACAACATAGAAACAGCTAACACTTAATATGTGAGGCATTCATCAAAGAAGTTTACATGGACTGATCTACAGAATCAAGGCAACCCTAGAGATATTTATATTAATTTCATTTTACATGAGGCAACTGAGAAATAACTTTGTCTAAGATCACACACCTATTAAGTGGCTGAGCAGGGACCTGAGCTCAGGTAGCCTGGATCAGAGTGTATTCCACCTTTAACAGAGAGACATGTCAGTTGTACAGATGAATTTGGCATCCAAGAAGAAGAGTTTAAAAATAAGGATTTGGAAGTCAGCAGTATATATAGATGGCAGCTGAAGCTATGAGTATTCACTTAGATACAGAGAACACCACTTTCTCTAAGTGTAGTCCTTCGGTCACTTAGGTACAAATACCTCTAGGGTATTTATTAAAAGTGTAGATTCCTGGGCATCATCCAGGTCCTTGGAAACAGAATCTCTAGGGTAAGTCCCAAAGATATATAGTTTTATCTCCCCAATTGATTTTTATGCAAATTAAAGTCTGAAGATCACTGATGACGAATGAGAAAAAAAAGTATAACAATAACACTGAGTTTATTAGAAGTGTGTCTACAATAAGAGTAAACAAGTTCTGAAAAGGGATGTTTAGTAAGGGCCTAAGCAAGTGTCTGATGGGTCTTTTATCAAACCTAAGCCACTATTATAAGATGCATTATTCTTTTATGTTTCACATACATACGTACAAAAAATAAAAACAGGAGATCTATCATGGAAAGCTGCAACAACAGAAAGGCTACAAATGCAGTGTGGAATCAATGAAAAATAAACTCACCACACAGAAAGAGAGAGCAAGGAAACTTAAATGTCTCTACCTTCAACAAGTACTGGAAATTTTATCCAAAAGATTGTTCTTACACAGCTTTGAAGTCTGAATTCATCCTATCAGTGGGTTTAAAACAAAAACGAAAACAAAAATCTACTCTCCAAACACTGAATTTAATTGAAAATGGTCTCAAGTTGGTAGTAGTGTGAATGACTGGTAGAGGTAAATGCAAATGCTCTCTGAAGTAATCTGACTCCAATTCAGACCAATAACGATTATAAGATGCATCCTTATTTTAGAATTTTCTTAAATGTGAAAAAAATGTCTTAAAATCATTGAAATACAGTAAATGGAAGGTATACCAAGTTATTCTGAATGCCCAGAAACTTTGAGGAGGACGGATTATATTATGGTTTTTAAATGTACCCCATAATTCCATACAGGTGTTGGTTTGTTTTTAAAAGAACTATAAAACAAAGACAGATTATTAAATTATAAAAATCCTTTTCCTTCCCATCACATTTAATCATTTTTTATAATTCCTCTACATATAAAAAGTCTCATCTGCAAAAAAAACCCACAAAACAAAACAACCAACAAGTGAGATCAGACCACTCGTACCCCCAGAGTCCATGTAAATGCTTCAACATTCTCCGGGACTTTGTGAACTGGATTGCAAAACTGACCACAGGCCATGGTAACTGTCCAGACACAACAGAGAAGAGAAAACTTGGCTCCTGCTAAGGCTGATGATTTGCACTCTCAGTCCAACACTTGGTATTCCCTCTTTCACTCACAGGCCACAAACACACTAACGATGTTTTCACGATACCCAGAGTACCCTAGATCTTTTTAAGAAAAATTAATCCCTTCTCAACAATGCCACCATAAAAAAATTGTTTTAGCACTTGTATAATTTTCCAGTAAAGCAGTGTATTCCTAGTTCAGACATGCATTTTCCATCTTTTCCAAGGGGAGTATAAACTGCACAAATTATACACTATAGTTGTTCTGGGATCTTATAAAACTGCAATAACGTTGTATAGCAAGCACATCATGCAAACTGATCATTAGAAGGCTAAATGGCTTTAGAGTGAAAATAAGCAGCAAACAACCACTGCAAGGAGTTCCAGAATTCAAACTTACAAATAAACCAGTTATATAACCAACCACTACTAGCTTCTCCCTTCTTTTAGTGGGTGAAGGTCCTCAAAGTCCCTCTCACAGCACAGTCTTGTCTAGAGTAATTGATATAAGAATTCAAATCTGATTCCCACTCTTGCCACTCCCTGACAGAACACCTCTTTCACTCAGGAGCAAATGTGAGCATAGGGATTTTTAAGACTGCAGAAAGTGAAATTTCCCCCGCCCCTACCTGTAATTTAACATTCACTTGCCACAGAAACAAAGAAATAATGGTTTTATAGTGTCACTGCTGTTCTAACCATGTTATAAAAATATTGCTTCTATGTGGATCTATGGAAAATCCACTTTGAATGTCAATTTCAACCTACTCAGTAACTCTTGGGATGAAATTTGTTAGTACAGTTTGTGTACTATACAATATTTAATTTAAAAAAAATTTTAAAGTGGCCCACAATCCCATTATACAGAAACCTCTATTCACATTTTTTTTTTTTTTTTAAGTAATATATCCACAGGTAACAAAACTTAAACAGCATAGAAAAGCACAAAATAAAAAGTAAAAATTTTCTGCTCCTAGACTGCTGATTCCCAACCACATCTGCTGCTGTCCCCTCTCTGGGGACAGCAACAGCTTCTTTAGAACAGAACGAAAAACATTTATATACTTAAGCACTTTTCTTTTGGTGACT